TACCACGCCCGGTTTAAAATGCTAATCTTGGCCCACAGTTGAACCACTGACCATGTGTTATGGGAGGTATGTAAATTGGCAAGCTTCTGTACCACAGTGGGTAAATGTGGGCAGGATTTGAATGAGATTCCCGAGATGCTTGCACAGTGTCTCCTTTGTGCTGCTTTAGGAAATGGTTTTCTGTTTCTTTCTTCAACAGCAAAGTACACTGGGAGAGTTTTTAGAAGTTGACTCAGTCCTGAGATCTGAACTTTTCCAATTACTCACCTTCAAGGTGATTTCTGACCATTTAGAAGCCTTTGCTGGATCTTTAGACAAAGAAACAAGGGTAAGTACTAGTTAAGATGTGGGTTAGTGAAGTGCAAGAGCAGGACTAGCAGTTCATCTGAAGGTGGGGGGAAAGTAGTGAATATGGGGAGGCATTGAGACAGGGTCTCCTTACGAAGTTCTGGGTGGCCTTGAACTCACTAGGTAGGCCAGGCTGGCCTCGAACTTGAAGCAATCCTCCTGGCTCAGCCTCCCAAGTGTTTGCATTACAGACATTCACCACCACACCCAGTTAAAATTAATGACGGCAGTTTTAGTTATAATTTAAGGGAAAAGCCAGGCATAGTGGCACACACTTGTAATCCCAGCACTCGGGAGGCCGAGACAGGAGGATCCCTGTGAGTTTGAGACCAGCCTGGGCTACATAGTGAGTTCCAACTACATAGTGAGACTCTATCTCAAAAAGCCAAAAAAAAAAAAAAGGGGGGGGGATGAGATTTTGCTCCAAATACAATGATTTATTTTGAGGAAGAGGATCCAGTGATTAAACTTGTGCAAGGAGATGGGCTGCTAAAAGTCAGGTTGCAGCTTCCATTGCATTCAAGAAAACCAGAAAAATAAATACAATTTCTAGGAAATGTTTTTCTCCCATTCACTTTAACCTTGGGGATCCTCACATTGATGGAATTGGTTAGACCTGCGCTGCACAATATGGTAGCCTTTAGCCAGTACGGTATGTGGCTACCATGCACTGGAAATGTGACTGGTTTGAATGAGATATGCTGCAACTAAAATACATACTGGATTTAAACAAAATTTTAAATAAACTTTATTTTCTCCTACCCCCCAAGTCCCCATACTGGATTTGAAAGAGAATAAAAATGTAAACTTTTCTGTTGACTGCCTGTTGAAATATTTTAGATATATTGGGTTAAATAAAATATTACATGATTTCACCCATTTTTACTTTTTTAATGAGGCCACTAGAAAATTTTAAATTATACATATAGCTCACATATTTAACATGTAGACAGCAAAGCTTCCTTCTAGAGGTAAGTGCTTTAGAGTATTAAATACAAGGAATCTTGTGAGGTTATTATTATTATTATTTTGGTACTGGGGATTGAACTCGGGACCTTGTGCTTGTTGCAAGGTAGGGTGGGGGTGGATTGCTGATGCCAGTATTCAAGTCTTCAAGGTAGCCAGGAAGAATTTTTTGCTCTCCTCCTCAGATGGTACTTGGCTGATGTTTTATTAGACATTTCCATTTATTCAATACTTTGGGTACCTAAACGAATGTCTCTTTATCAGGCACTCACTTTGTCAAACCACATATAAAGAATTTTAAGTCCCACATTTTTTAAGACAGGGTCTCCTCACTGTGTAGCCCAGTCTGGACTTGAATTTGTGACCTGGGAGTAAGGTGTGTGCCAACATGCTTACCCAAGTCCCACTCTTTCTGCCAGAGCTTTTGTCAAATTACCAAAGCAGTGACATAACTAGTTTGGAATCCATGAAAACTACCAAAATGGAAATTATGTGGTTTAAAAAATAGCTTTTATCAAATCCAGAAAAGAACTATCATATTTAATGAACTGTGGTTTGGCTTATTCTGCAAAGTTTACACAAAATGATTATTTGACTCCTTGAAAAAGTCATGAGTTGGATTCTTTTTGTTTTCCACAAAGTACTAGGCCTAGTACTGAGCTTATAGACACACAAAGAAAATTATAGACTCCACACTAATAAAGGTGGATTAAAAAATTATCATAGACCCCAGATAAGTATTTCATCGTTTCATAGTTTCCAAACAGGTTCCTTTCTCATTACTCTTTAAATATTCTATAGCATTTTATCTTTGATGATGTTGGAATTGTTGAGTGTGATTATTTTTAAGTTTCAGTGTAAGAGAACTCTTGGTGGGGGGAGGGTTGAGAAATATTTTTGAATTCTTTGTATGCCAAAAGCAAGCTAACTTCTGTAAATATATGGTCTTCACATAGCCACTCAGGCATGAATTGAAGGCACTCAAGTTGGCCTGTACCAAAAGAAGCAATGTTCTTGACAAATGAAGGGGAAACTAGTGATATATTATCACTAAACTCTTCCTTCAGTAACTTATTTATTTATTGGTACTGGGTATCGAACTCAGGAAAATGAGCTTGTGAGGCAGGCCGTGGAACCAGAGCTAAATCCCTGGCCCTTAGTAACTTTTATATAGGTGTGCCCTGCTTTAAGAAAACCCGATAGATGAGTTTTAATGCATTACAGAAAAATCTGGGCATTATAAATCACTTTTGATACATACAAATGTTTTTACCGCATCAAAACAAAAAAGGATTATTTTTCTCTAAATCTAATGTTATGATTTTTTTAGAGGCTGGGTCTTCAAAAAGCTATATAGATTTTTGAGACAGGGTCTTGCTATGTAGTTCAGGCTGGTGTTGAATTCACTATGTAGCCCAGGCAGGCCTCAAACTCTCAGTAATACTGCTTCACCCTCCCAAGTGCTGGAATTGCAGGCATGTGCCACCACACCCGGCCTAATGTTTTAATTTTGAGAAGGAATTTTCAGCAACTGAAATGCAACTCTTTATCGCAAGGAGATGGTCTTTGGCTACTACATTTAAGACTACCAGAAAAAATATACACAAGTTTTAGAATAATCTCAAATTTTCTCTCATTTACATCTCAGCCAGGGATTAAGAGGTGTTACCTCACACTTCTGGTTTACTTATATCAATGTTGTCCACTATGGTACCCATTAGCCATATGTAAATTATATTCATATTCACAAACACTCTCCACTAGATTTTCATTTATTCTAAATCTGACTACAGAGTGGAATTAGGGCTAGTGTTTGGCTACTGAATATATTTTTTTCTACATTAAGCTAGCTGGCATTTATGGAGATTAACTTAATTATGACCATAATAGTAATATTTTGTTACTGATTCAGATTTTATCTACCTGACTAGATAATAAATAAGTTTGAATAGAATATTAGTTGAGATATAACACCTGTGTATAAAAACATAATTGAGCATCAATTTAATCTAAATGATTGTACCTCAGCATTTATTGGCAAACAATGAAATGCATTATCTGACACAACTTAGTTATGACTTTGATAACAAAGTTATCCAATATTAAAGTTATTACAACTTTGATAATTAACAATTAAAGAAAATATAGTGTTTGGGGCAAGCTGACACAACAGAAAAATATTTATATATTGGTATTGATGGCAGTGTGTCACTCTCAAAGAGATACTGTTTATCACTGCGCTCATACTGAACATGATTCGATATGTAATAACTGTACCTGAGACCATGTTAGGGTACTTGATCAAGATTTTATTATTCTTCAAAATTAATAATGTTTCACCTTAACTGAAGTCTCAGTGAGACAGATCAAAGAAATTAAAGGGTTTGACACTAGTCTGAGGATCAGTAATTTGAAGCCCAAGGCCTGCTGCCTGAGAAAATTTTCTTTCTGGTTTGCTAAAGCTATGGGAGACATTAACATCATGAGGCCAGGTGCATGCAATACTGATATCTAAAATGACATGGTTTCATATCCTAAGGGGGCTCAGTAATTGTCTCTACAGCATGTGCTAACCAGATCATAGGACAAGTCAGCTCGAAGTATTTCACACATTATGAGTGCAGAAACAATTTTACCATAGGGTAAAGATTCTGGTAACTACTGAAATTAGACAAATGGTATGGCAATCCGTTTGGATGGCAAGGTTAGCTTCCAAACAAAAAACATAAGAAAAATCACAATTTGAACAATAAAAAAAAAGACTAAAGCTGGGCATGCTAGAACATGGTTGTAATCCCAGTACTCAGGAGGCTGAGACAGGAGGATCTCAGAGTTCCAGGCCAGCCCTGGCTACATAGTAGTTCAAGCCTAGCATGAACTACATAGTGAGTCCTTGTCTTAACAAAATAAAATTCAGGTAAATGAAACTGCCAAAACAAATTCTTGAAAGATTTCGACAGCAGGAATAAATCTCAGTGGCTACATTTTTATTCAAGTTGCAGTTTGGAATTTAACTCCAATTTCAGTACCTGCATATTGAAGTACAAAATTACATAGAAATTGTGTATACTGAGGAATGCCACTAACTTAGATCCTAGGAAAAGTCTATTTTTTCTCTCAGGAATAGAATTCAACTTCCATTAACACTGATTAGGAATATTTAAATTGCTTGGTTATGGTGTTTTTGTTGTTGTTTTTTTGTTTGTTTGGAGAGAGTCTTGCTATATAGTTCAATCTGGCCTAGATCTCACTAGTCCAGCTGGGCCTCGAATTTTTGGTGATTGTCTTGTTAGCCTCCTGAGTGCTGAGATTACATGCATGCACCACCACATCTACCAGTTGCATATTTTGAGAAGGCAAATCCATTGGCACTTGGGGAGGCTTAGAACATAAATCTACGTTAAGAGTAAAGGAGGGCTGGGGATTTAGCTCAGTGGTGCCACTGCCTGCCTTGTTTGATCCCTGGTACCAAAAACAAACAAAAAAAAATTAAAGGAAACAGCTAAAGTTTTACTTTGATAAAAAATTCACAACTAGAGATTCATGTGTGTATACTAAAAAGCTAAAAGGACATGTTAAATGTTCCAATCTGTAAAAAAATGCCACACAGATTTTTAATGTTCATAATTTATCACATACATGTATGCTTTATTAGCAAATTACTTTTAAAACATTTATTTCCAACACATTCTTATGTGTTTTAAGGAAAAAAATACCACCTCATTTACAAAATAAGCTAATAAACTTTAATGTGTTATTATACCAGTGCCATTAGACTAGAAAAGAAAAAATATATCTCTGTTGGTATATATGTAGTCATTACCACAAATAATTACAACACGTCTTATATGTTGATGAAATACATGCTATTTTTCTGCTTCTTAGTCATTGTCAGAACCATTTGGAGGTAAGAAAATCAAAGCATCATTGAAAGTATGTCCAAATGCCCTAAGACGGTAGACCCCGTACATCATCACATGCATCTGATTAGGAGTCAGTCCATTAAATGTAACGGCCATATCAGAACAGCATCCTTCTACTACCTGGTTGGGGTGATTGGTCATTGCCTCTTTAATAAAAAGCCCCACAGATTTGGTATTAAATACATCTTTTCCTTCAGCATCTTCTGCATTTTCTGCAAATACTCCAGCATATTTGAGGCAGACTGCTAGCTGCTTATCTTCAGATATCTTCCAAATCATTCCTCCCTGTTCAGGACACTTTTCAGAGATATTCAGAAGGCTGCTAAGTCTTTTCATTGATTCTACACTTAAGACAATTCCTCCTTCCACACTCACATATTCAAGGTCTCCAGATTTTATAGTGTGGCCTATGTAGAAAGGCTGTGATGGATCCTTTTTTAACAAAAAATACTTTAGGTTTTCAATAATAGCAAATGTAGTGGGGCGTGCAAGGAAGAACCAGTTGTATTGGTCGCTATACTTATCAAAGGCATATTTATAAGCTTTTCTCATCATTAACCACATGTCATTTGTTTCCATATTAATTGACTCAAACACTTTAACATCTTCAGAACTGAAGAACTCTGCTTTGTCACAGTGTTTGGTCCAAGTCTCCTTCACTGCAGCCCAAAGACTCACATCTTTGGGTTTCACAAGGATGATGCAGTATACACGAAAGCTCCTGCTAAGCTCCATGCGTTCATCCTCTGAAATTTTCAAGATCTCTTCTTTATTAGGAGCTTGAAGATGATGATGCTCATGGTGGTGCACTCTATTTCTGTGACCAATCTTAATGTGTCCTAGCACAGTGATCAAAGCATAGAAAATGCTTCCAAGCATCACACCCTTCAAAAATGAACTGCTTTCAGAAAGCATTTTTCCTATAAAGAAAACAAAAGACCCTTAAAATACTTAGTACAGCAATTTGATTTGGCATTCCTTATATTAGTTTTCTCCAAAATGTTAAAAAAAAGTTCCCAAGCTTGAAATGTAGTTGCATATAGTACCAAACACTCTCAGAATCTTTTCTTTTTTTTTTTTTTGACACAGGATCTCGCTACGTAGTTCAGGCAGGTCTTGAACTCTCTATGTATCCCAGGCTGGCCTCAAACTTGTGGCAATCCTCCTGCCTCAGCCTCCCAAGTGCTAGGATTACAGGTGTGTGCCACCACGCCCAACAGAGAATCTACCTTCCAAGAGATACTGTCCAGTATAAACTGCAACTTTGCAGAAGCTCCTCTATATAGTAGAATTTGCTGTGGGGGAGGCTCTTTTTGCATTTCATCTACAAGGATTTAATTAATCAAGTACTAAATGAAAGCACTAGCCCTTGAAACCAACATTACAAGCTGTTTGCCCATCATTCTCTTTAAAGCATTGTGTATCACAAGTTGGCACTGTCATTTAAATACCTCTAAAAACAAATGTAGTTTGAAAACAAGGCTTTAAATTGAATAGATAAATCCACCCATTATTGGTAATGTTATTGGTAATGGTATCTGTGCTGACATTTCTTTTTTCAACCTACTGCTTTATTTAACTGACTGCTAATGTGTTGAGGTGTTTAGAGTACATCTAAATCAAGTTTCTGGAAATTAACATATATGTTAATACTTACACTTCTGTTCCTAAGATGAAGTGGTTTCTTATACAGTATCCCAACTACTGATGTAATAAAAGCCCATAATGAAAGAAGAAAAATGAGATGATATAGACATATCTGGAGACCATTCATTTTTACTTCCTCAAAAAGATTTTCTTCTTTGAGGAAGTAAAAGTTAAGTCCATATCTTTATTTCAATTAAAATTAACAGAAAAGCTTACATTAAATACAACTGATCAAAAATTGTATGCTACACATGCTAGGAAATTTTCCCATTTCTCTACCTCCACAAAAAATAATGTTCTGCTAAGGTACTTAAATTTTCTCTTTGTCTTTTAAAGTTGAAAGGGGCCTTAGGAACTAATGTAATTTCTCATTTTATGGTTAGGGAAATGGAGGACCGCAGAGGTTAAGGAACTAACTTAAAAGCCACAGAGCTAGTCAGTGATAGAAGTGGATTAGAACCTACAGCAGTTTAATACTTTTTCCCATTACAGACTAATAGTCTACACAGTTCTTCTACCATATTGAAAGTTTAATAAATGAGTTGCTCAATAAACTTGTTTTCTAGAAAAGAAAATGAGTTATCTATTCACCAGTTTTCATTTTGTACCCAACATCACCATATCGCTACAAGATGGTTTTCTACTAGAGGAAATGGACTTTGACTTCTACCAGTAAAAGAAGTAGAATAGACTGGCAGATGTAATTCCAGAGTTGGGGAGGGGAAAGAGGCAGAATGATGGGTTTTCCTGATCACTTTTTTTTTCTTTCTAGTGCTGGAGATTGAACTCAGGACCTTGCGCTTTTGAGGCAGGTGCAGTGCCACTGAGCTAAATCCCCGACCCAGAATGATGGTTTTCCTATGTCATTCATGGAACCTGGTCAATAAACGTAGTTCTAAGAGGAAATGATAAGGGATATAAAACAAGCCTGCTTTAATAATAGAATTGTCAGGTGCAGTCCAAAATTAAATCATCCAAGTTTCCGGGATTTCATATTCATCTCCAGCCAATATATAATTCACTCATGTCTCTTCACTTGACTGGCACATGTATGCATTGAGATTCTTTCTGATGAGGATACTTCTGGCTGCAAAAGTACTGATGAAAATTAGAGAAGTAAGGGCTGGAAGAGCAACTCAGTGGTAGAGTGCGTGGCTGACATGCAAGAGGGCCTGCGTTCAATTCCCAGCAAAGAACAAACAAAACAAAACAAAACTCCTGAAGTCTACAGATTTCATATAAAATCATTTGCAAGTTATACATTTTTTTCCACAAAGGAGGCAAAAAAGTAACAGTAGGGGTTGCACATAATGGGATATTTCATGCAGAGCACAGGGGACCAAGACACTACGTGGAAGAGAAAAACTGCACACGGAAACAAGGCAGAAACTACCCAAGTAAATTTTTAGAGTCAACCTTTTCAGAAGGTGAAGGTGAGTGGGGTGGATTATGGAAAGGAAGGAGGACGAAACGAAGGGAGAGGGAGGACATACAATAGTCACCTCAAGACCCCGGCGAGGGGCCAAGGGAATGCCTCCACCTCTAGCTCCTTCCAGCGCTCCCCTTGCAACTGTCCGGGCAGCCAGCGTGGAGCATGCTGGGAATGAGCTAGGGCCCAGGCCTTTCCCGGTGTGTGTGGTGGTCCAGCTGCTCCGGGGTGCGATCTGGGTGGGGACCACGGCGTAGACACTCACCCGCGTCTAGAGCGGCTCGGGCGCAGGAAACCACAGCCTTGCACAGCTTCCTTTTCACGTTCGCGCGCCACTCTGTTATGCGCCCGGGTGGGTTGCTCTAGGTGCAGGCGGTATCCTCTCGTTGGTCTCGCAAAGGGTGGGAAGATCCGGGAAGCTGACGCGAGGTGGCGGGGCGGGGCAAAGGAACGTGGGTCTGGGAGCGGAATCGCCGGTCCACTCCGCTCGCGCAGACGCAGTATGTCCCGCTTTCCCCGCCCCATGCAGAGTTCCGAGCCGCTCGCCTGGCTGGCGTCACCCGCGCGCTCGCCTGTGTCCGAGGCACGCAGAGAGGTATGCGTGCGTGCTTGAGTCGGTTTTTCTCTCACTTCTCCGCTTTTCCTTGGGGGAAACTGTGCTTTTACAGGTCTCTTAATGTTTTCTCTAACGTACCCCCGTGACTCTATACCACTTTGTTCGTAAGCGGATGCTCCCCCAACTACTCTTGGACCAAAACTAAAGCCACTGAAATAGTTATAGATTTTGAGAGCAAGGATTCCCAGTGGTTCTAGGAATGGGATTTGAAGCCAAGCTGCCTGGAATCCGTTCCTGCCTTCACCAAGTGCTTTGATATCCTGGGATGGTTACTGAACCTCGCTCTCAGTTCTTTCCGTTGTAAAGGTAGAAAATACCACAGTAGCGCCTCTCATAAAGTTTACGAGGTAGTGCACGTGACCCCTTCAGCAAAAGTTAAAACGTAGAGAGCATTTATTAAGTGTTGATTGTTGTTAAGCACCCGTTTCACCAGTGCTTAAGCTACTTCCAATACGCATTAGATGATTGTTTTTAGAGTTCATGAATGTTAGTGTTACGAGGGAAGCCGGGCACAGAAGGGATAAGAAACTTGAAAAGCCACAGAGCAGATTATAAATGCAGAAGTGTTACTAGAATCTAGGTCTCCAATTTAAGAGTGAAGAACTCTCAGCTAAATATGTAATCTTTTTAAATTCACTTGTGGCACCGCCGTCTACCTCGCAAGCACAAGGTCCTGAGTTCAATATCCGGTACCCCCCCATTCAATTGTGGCAGTTTCTTTGCTTGAAAAGCACACATTCTTATAAATATTCGAAATATGTGATCACTTGGTTCTATCAAAATAACTGGTTACCGAGGCAGGCACAGTGATGCATACCTGTAATCTCAGCACGTGGGAGGAGAGGCAGGAGGATCACCACAAATTTGAGTCCAGCTTGGGCTAGTAGTGCGTTCAAGGCCAGCCTGAACTACAAGCAAGACTGTCTCAACACAAACTACAACAACAACAACGACCAAAAGCAAAGGGGACTTGGCCAGAATGGTGATTTAGGCCAGAATTCTTAAAAACACATATATTTGACTAATTACAGTGATCAAATTTAAATAAACTGAAATTTTCTGGGAGCAATGAAACAAACACACGAGTTTTAGGCAATTATTATCCTGGCAGCACTACATAAATTCTAGGACTATAATGGTGCCAAAAACAAATCCACCACCTTCATGGACCTCTCTAGTCTAGCGGGGAAGAAAGACATTAAACAATTCATTATAAATTATTATATAGTATCATTGAAGAGGATGGTGGTTTTTAAAAGTTATTGCAAAAAAAGACACATTGCCATTAACGTCTCTCTTTGAACACACTTGTCCTATTTTTCTTGCCACTTCACTTTGTGAAGCAGTTGTGGAAGTCTTTTGTGTCTTTAGTTGTGCTGTCATAGCTGCCTCAATGCCCCGAATCGATTAAAAACTTTTACCTTTTATGGTCATTTTAACTTTGGGGAAGAACCAAAAGTCATAGGGTGCCACATCGGGGTGAATAAGGTGGATGAGGACACACTAATGTTTTTAGGAGCCTGCCTTTTCACTGGATGGCAACCAGTAGCACTAGTCACTGAATTTTTGATCACATCACCCAAAGATACTAACCCCTACCCCACCCCCCGCCTTTGTTTCTTTGTTTTTTTTTTTTTTCCTCCCTACCAGGAATCCAACTCAGGACCTTGTGCTTGCCAGGCAGGTGCAGCGCCACTGAGCTAAATCCCCAGCCTTTGTTTCTTTTTCAGACAGACTTGCCTTGAACTCACTATGTAGCCCAGGCTGTCCTCAAACTTGCAGTGATACTCCTGCCTCATCCTCCTGAGTGCTGGGATTATAAGCATGCACTAGCATGCAAGTTTTGAAGTCTGGTTTCAGCAAAGCAGTATTAACATATGAAAAAGCGGGGCATTGTAGCACAGGTCTGTAATTCCAGCACTTGGAAGACTGAGGCAGGATAGACATGGATGTGAGGCCAGCCTGGGCTACATAGTTCAAGGCCAGCCTGAATTACATAGTTAGTGTTTCAAAACAAAACAGAACAAAACAAGGGGTAAGGGATTTAGCTCAGTGGCACCACTCCTGCCTCACAAGCGCAAGGTCCTGATTTCAGTCCCCAGTACTAACGGGAATAAGAACAAAACAAAATATGAAAAAAATTCTATTTTGTTAAATACATGAAATATCTATGAATTCAATATACATATATAATTAAGCAAAAACACTAGAATGAGCATATAATATATTTTGGTGAAAACGTGTACACAGGTTTGATCTGTTGGTATGAGCAAGGAGAATTATGGAAGGCTTTTAATACTGATTATATGAGGAGGCTGAGGTGGGGATGATTAGCTTTATCTTTTTTTTTAAATGTAGCAAAGTTTTATTAAAAGAAGGAAAAGAAACAGGCTCTGCAGAGTGAGTTTGGGCCAAGCAAAAGTAGGAAAAGGAGTTCACCCTACAGCATGAGGACAGCCACCATGGAAGAGTGGACACAGTGGCCAGCTTTATCTTAGTATATATCCTTTTATTACAGTGTTTCACTGATTCTAACATGAACTGATTATTTTTGAATTTGATGAACAGGAAATGAAAGGATTTTTGAAAATAGAGCGAGCAAAAGAAAAAGAAGAAAAACTATCATTAAAAATACTTTCTAAACAGTGCAAAGAAGCAGTCTCTTTTCCCCAAAATGGACCAAAGCACTAATAGAAATGGCACTCAAAACTGAGAGATAGCGACAATGAGACAAATATTTCTTAAAAAAAGGGTAACTATGTGAGGTGATGTACATGTTAATTAGCTTCATCCTGTCAATCTTAATATCTGCACGTTTCTCATCATGTTATACACTTTAAATATATAGTATTCAAATTTTACTTTTTGAACATAACTCTTTAGAGCTGGAAAAAATGATTCTTCTTCTAGTGCCAAACTGGAAATTATGTTATGAGATGCAAAGAGACAATAAACCATGGATTTTCAATATGAAAAACACTGTTGATGAGGGATTATCTGAAAACACACTGCTTAAAGCAGACCTTAAATATACTTGGCATTTTAAATGAAGTTAGATGATTGACTTGTAGTTAAGTGATTGCATTTTGAAAACAATATTCCACAGTGTAGCCTGTTATGGCTGTATGTCGATGTACCCCCAAAGCCTCATGTGCTCATAGATGGGCCTTTTTGGAGCTGGCTGGATCTAGAGTGTGTGTATGGATTAAGGATATGTGGTACTAAATTAGTCCACTGATTGGTTTAGCATAGCTCTGGGTGTGAGTAATGGGAAGGCCTATTCTGGGTGTGGGTGGCACCACCACAAAGCTTGTAACATGAATGGAATAAAAGGGGAAGGGAGGTTTGTTGCTGCTGCTGCTGCTGCAAATTTAGCAGTGTAGCAGGATATAAAATTAATGTGCAAAATCAATAGCATTCCCATACACCAATAATAAACTCACCGATAAAGTCATTAGAGAAAAATACCATTTATAATAGTTTCAAGAAAAATTAAATACTTAAGAATTAACCTAAGGAAGTGGAAGATTTCAGCAATGAAAACTATAGTACAGTACTAAAAAGGGAGATCAAAGATGACATCAAAAAATGGAAAGATATCTTCTATTCTTTGATGGAATCCAGTATTGTCAAAATGGACATACTTCCAAAACTGACATACAGCCCCAAACAGAATACTAGCAACATTCCTCACAGAACTAGAGAAAACAATCCTCAAATTCATATAGAATCAGAGGAGACCCAGAATAGCAAAACCCATCCTTGGCAACAAGAGCAAAGCAGGAGGCATCACAATGCCAGACTTGAAGTTTTATTACAATTCTACAGTGAAAAAAAAAGCATGACATTGGTACAAAAACAGATGTCTGGATAAATAGAACAGAATAGAGGATGCAGAAACAACTCCAGGCACATTCAGTTACCTGTTCTTTGACAAATAGGCCAAAAACTTACACTGAAGGAAAGGTAGCATCTTAAGCAAATGGTGCTGGGAAAGCTAGCTATTCACATGCAGAAGACTGAATCTAGACCTATCTCTCACCATGTACTAAACTAAAATCACAGTGGATCAATGATCTAAATGTTAAAACAGAAACACTTAGTCTGCTGGAAGATAAAACAGACATAGGCACAGGCAAGGACTATCTAGACAGAATCCCAATTGTGCAAGAGATAACAGGAAGAATCAACAAATGAGATTATATCAAAATTTTCTGTAAAGAAAACAACTAATAAAGTGAAGAGACAACCTACAGAATGGGAAAACATTTTTATCAGTTACACCTTGGAATGAGTACTAATATCTAGAATATACAAATAACTCAAAAAATTAGATCCCCCAATTGAAAAATGGGGAATTGAAATGAATAGACACTTCTGAAGAAGTACAAATGACCAATAAATACTTGAAAAAATATTCAGCATCTCTAGCTGTTAAAGAGTCATGCAAATTAAAATAGCACTGAGATTTCATCTTACTCCAGAAAGAGTAGCTATTATGAAGAAGTCAACCGATAACACATGCTGGTGAGGCTGCAAGGTAAAAGGAACCCCTGTATATTTTTAGTGGGAATGTGAACTAGTACATCCGCTATGGATATCAGTATGTCATTCCTTAAAACACTAAAAGAAGAAATTTCATTCCACCCAACTGTTCCCCTTCTAGGAATCTTTCCAAACTAGACACCATATTGCTATGATATGAGCACACCTATGTTTACAGTAGCACAGCTCATAAATAGTTAAATCCTAGAAGTGGTGTATTTCTTCATCACTAGATAAATGGATACAGAAATGTGGTATTTATACAAAATGGAGTGCTATTCTTCCATAAATAAGGATAAATTTGAATCATTTTTAGCAA